TGAATTTTGCATAATTATTATTTTACAAGGTTATATAATTTAAAATACATTATATTTTACCTGTTTTAATTTTAACAAACATAAAATGAGTTTACAATATGAAGTGATACATTTATTAAAGTTTTTATCTTTTGTTAATGTAACTCTGCATCTTAAAAATTTTAAATTCTTAATCTGAAAACACTGAAAACATAAAAAAGTCGTTTTCAGAATTTCTACTGTTTAGATCACTTAATCCGAAAACAGTTTTAAAAAAATGAATCTCCAAATTCCTGCCAAATGCGTATTCGCTGAATCCATTTGATTAAGTGAATTTGAAAATAAAAAATAGAATCCGAGTTTCTAACCAAACAGGCCTTTAAGTAGAACAAGTAACTTGATTGAGTGAATTAAAATTAAGTTTGGAATTTGTGTAAATTTGATTGGAAAAGTTGAGTGATAGTTTGTTTGAGAATAGCTTTGAAAAATGTATAAATTTAAATTTGAAAAGAAAAATAAGAGAAGTTATGTAAAAATAAAAACAATAATAAAATAATTTGAGTGAATTAGAAATAGTTTGGAAATTGTGCATAGATGATGAGAAAAAATGAATAAAAAAGTAAAAAATGTAAAGAAATCAATGTAAATTTAAAATAAATCAAAATCAAAATGAAGTGGAGTGTGGAGTGGATGTGGACATGGGGCTATTAGTCTATCCCTACGGGAGTGGGGGAAAACGACTTTATCCCGTTGTATCGAGCTAGTCGATACAGCGATATGTTGATTGAAATGTCGACATGTTGAACAACATTTAATACATTGAACATTTACTACATTGAATAAAAATAATGATTAATTTGTGTAAATATACAAGAAAGAGAGTCAAACTTAAAATAGTAGGATTTTTTTATTTATAAGAATTATAGTTTTCTTTTATATGGGATAAAACTTTTTAAAGAATTTTATTTAAAATTTAAAATATTTTTATCAATTTCAATTTTTTTATATAAAAAATAAAACAAAAATTATAACATTAATTATTAATTATTATTACATATTTAGAAATTTATATAAATATTTTAATGAATGAAAATAATAATTTATATATATTTAGCAAATTTCAATAAA